ATGTACTTCTGCTTATAAAGGTCTGGTGCCTGTATTGTGCACATCTGGATGGAGATGGAGCGCAGAAGTGGATATTTTACAACTTCTCAAACTTAGAATAAAAGCTTATTATTAATGATAGCACACAGTTTTACTTCCAACGTGTCCTATTTGTTTTTATTATGTTTACCTTGTGTTATTGTTGGGCATTTTATCCCATTTTATTTGGACCTGAATGATTTTTGTGCTTCCTTTCAGTCCTGAAATGTCTTAACCCTCCTTCAACCATAGCTTTTTGTAACTTTGTTTTGAAAAGTGCTGTATAAATAAAGTTGATTATAATTATTAATATCTGCTCTCCTATTGAAGTATAATAGTGTGGGGGCTCAGTTTTTGAGCAGGGGAGCTGATCTGTGAGCTCTAACAGCTTTAATGAGTGGGACTTTCATTCATAATTTATCAGCTGTGAGTCTGGCTCTGAACTGTGCTTGTGGCTTTAGACTAATTAAACTAATTAAACCTGGCTTGTAGCTGGAAACGTTAACAAGATTTCACAGACACCAGCACACATGAAAAGGAGCTATTCTTTCTTTTTTTGTTGCATAAGTACAATGATAAGTGATAGAAGATATATAGACATAACTGAAAGTCTATCAGTATTTTGGGCTGAAGCGCCTGTACCTAACAGCATGGCTGCACTCACATACCAGGAGAAGGCCTGCTAGCTGAGATACAGCACAGGTACTAACACAGTTACTCTGTTCTTTCACAGCATTACTGTGCTTCTACTGGAGGCCAAAGCAGCACCAGCCTCCAGCAGGATCTTCTCAGAGAGCCCAGCAACTGATGCTCATGGTTAGAGCTGGGTACCAGCGCTACAGGACGCTGCAGGACGCCACAGCACAGTCATATACACGTCTGTTTCCACTGTGCCATACAGCAGTGGAGAAAGCAAAAGTGGAAATATCACAGTGTAAAAATACTCTGTCACAAGTAAAAGTACTGTATTTAAAATGTTAAGTAAAAGTATGAATATCACAATATACTATATATATTGCTATAAATAAAGTACCAGCAGTACCAGTACTCGTCCTCCAGAATGGCCCGTGTCCCAGTAACGTCTCTGATACTGGATCATAGTGACTAATTACTGTGTCCATCACTTTAATGCTGCAGCTGGTAAAGGTGGAGCTGATGGTAACTACCTTATATACTTATACTGGGAAGTACTTTCCATCCTGCTGGGTAGCTGGTGGATTTCCTACTGGGATCAATAGAGTCTGATGGTTCTACTGGGTTTGGTTTGATTCATCTGATTCCGGAAAAGACCTGAAGTTATCAGGTACATGTAGTGCAGTAAAAAGTACACAGTTTGTCTCTGACATGGAGTGAAGTCACAGGATGAAGGAGCAGGACGTGGAAGTACTCAAGTTAAGTAGAGATACCTCACAACTGTTCCTAAGTGCAGCACTTGAGAAAATGTACTTAGTTACTTTCCACCACTGGTGCCACACTTGGTTTAAAGGTGTTTCTCAAACAATGCACACACAGAACTGGGACAGAAAACAGCTAACGCTGTTGCACAAGTTCAAATCTATGCTCCTGGAATAGCATGTATGAAATGATGCTCTTTCTTCAAAACAGCTGATTCTACACTGTGAGAAAACAGGTGGAGCTCCGTCTTGGGATGCAGAACATTTTCCACTCATTAGTTTTTCAGTTTGAGCAGTTTAGTTCAAGCCAAGCAGTCTCTGAGACAGAGGTGAAGCCAATGCAGAAGTGTTAAACCCTGCAGTTCCTCGAAAGGCCACTAGAGGCTGAATCCAAAAGAGAGTCAGTCCCCACAGGCTCCTGTATTAAAATTCCCCAACTTTGCAGGAGAAATAAACATATTTACAGCCTGGTAATGGTTTGCATCTCTATAACTAGTTTCCACTTCCATGACAACTGTACAGGGGGTGAATTTTTATATAACTTACCTTTTTAAGTTATATTGAGGCTTAAGTATTATGCTTAATTAAAGGCGTGGTCACTTGGAGTGACAGGCCGCAGGGGCCCGCCACAGGTGTCTGGCTGCTGCAGTGGGAAGGACAAAAAGAAATGGCTCCATTTGATTAGATAAGTGACAGTAATCTTAAATGAATGAAATAAAATTTCTAAAATTGTGCTGATTTGTTGCTTTGTGTGTAGCTAGCTAGTTAGCACAAAGTTATCGTAAACAATAAACACTGACACATTCATGTGGATGAAAGTAGCTGTAAAAGTGCATTATTAAAAACAACATCAGCTATATATTGGAATAAATGTACTACTGTGTGTAACAACGTTTGGTTATTGTGCCACCAGGTGAAACTCTATTTGAATCTAAGTGATGTCTCCCTAAAACCAACAAGATGTTACTGTGTAGAGGATGAGCCGCTCCTCTATTTAGAAGTGGAGGTTCACATCACACTTAACAAGTGGATAGGCCACCTGCGCATCTCCAAAGGCCAGATCATAGATCTGACTGCAGCCTGTCAGTTTATATGATGGACATTCCTAAATCAGTGCTTTAAATCAACCCCCCACACTCAGCAAATCTAGAGCTGGGTATTTTTCCAGCACCAAATCTGTGCACACTGCACACAGAGTGGGTGGTCAGTTGGAGCCCAGCAAATTGTATTTGTCCAAGGGTCCAGTATCAGGTTGACACAACTATGATTTTGTACACACTCCCAAAATAAGCTGAAAGTTTGATTAAGCTTAAGAAAATCTGTTCTTCCTGTCATCTCACTTTATTGTTTGTGTTAAATCACTTTACTGTGTGTTCTTTGAGTTGAACATGTTTTCTGTTGTTTTTGACAACCAAACGAAACGTTGACCTTTTGTCTGCAGGTGTCTAAATCAGAATAAGCCTGGTTTTATGCATCAATATTTAACATTTCACTGTATGAGATGCGGCAGCTATGTCACTGCACCGATGCTTAGTCCTACTCAAGATAAAAATTTGAATGTAGCCGATGAAAGGTTTTTCATTTTAGTACATTTTGCCAACTTTCCCAGGACTCAGAGGGTTTGATGAGGACTTGGTTTCTTGGTTACCTTCTGGTCTATGATGGAGCACGCCACCTCCCGGACCTGACTGAGGCTGAGGTCTGCGGCGTCGAGCAGCACAGGCTCCCTGCTCAGACCGATCTGGATGTGGAAGGAGATCACACCGCCACCTCCTCCTCCTCCACCAGCACCACCTCCTCCCCCGGTGCCGGTATTGGTGTTGTTTGTCCCCCCTGAGAACGGGAGCAGGCTGGGCGCACGGATCAGCGGAGGCGCACTCATATGAACCTTTTCCCTGGTGTCTTCCAACCTTGCACGGAAACAATTTGCAGTCACGATGAGGAGAAATGACCGCACGGAGATCGAACAGGGAAATTAAACGGCAGAGCGGGAGGCGAACAGTCCAGATGGAGCAGCCCGAGGACGGATGTAAGCCGCGGACAGGTGTGGGATGCTCGGACGCACGGAACTCTCTAAAGCGTCCGAAAAGCGCAAAAAGAAGAGTTTCGGACAGAAACGACGAGTGATTAACTACAAGACACCTGAGAAAAACACAGAAGAGCTGTGAGAAGACGAACAGAGGAAGGCTGTTAACGCAGAGGGAGTTAGAAGAGCCATAACGACTACATGACTGGACTGGAGAGTAGCGTGGAAAGCGGTGATGCGGGTGACAGAGCCGTGGACGTCAACAGTGGCTGGAGAGGAGGAGGAGGGAGGAGAGGAGAGAGGGAAGCCTCCTGGACTGATGGATGGATGATTGATGGAGAGATGTAGCTTGGCAGAGTTGCTTTCATTTAGAAAGTGAGTCTCACTTTCGTTGCTCTTGAGTAAACTGTTCCTGGTAATAAACAGCAGAGTTTCAAGAGGGAGAAGTTCTGGGTTGATTTGTTTAAATTAATAAATCCATCAACTTTTCTAAAATCAACATTAAAAATACTTGGCTTAAAAATGACCCTCTTAAATACAAAACATCTGGAGGGGAACAACTGGAGTGATTTATTTAAAGGAAGCTGCTTCACTGAGCAAATTCCTCGAACTGTCTCAGTTTCTGATCATTAGCACCACGTTACACCAGTATTGTTTTCTAAGAAACAGTAAGAAACTTAGAAAAGGACAACACATAGCCTGAAACAAAGTACTGCTGTTGTATTCCCCAAAAAATATTACATTTTATTTATTGATTTTGTTGGTCCAAGTCAATCTAAGATCTATAAAATCTAGTCTAAACCAGTCTAAAGAAATATCTCCCAAATGTCGTGGAAGCTACGGCCCTGAACCGGGCGGACAGGAAAGTGAGGACTGATGAAATAAACAAACAAACATTTGGAAACAAAAACGGAAGAAAACAGGTGAGGCGGCACGTTGAGGGTGAAATTTAGAGAACGGATGGACCAACAATAATAAGACATTTCTGCTGATGAGGACTCATTTTTTAATGGTCTGGTTTAGACATGGAGAGAAAGAAGGCTGCCGAAAAACATCCTCCACATCTGTGATGAGGCCGATGAAGCTGTGTCTCCAGCAGGTCGAATCTGGCCCTGCTCCTGATCTCTGCTTCGCCCACAGGTCTGCTCTTTCGCCAGTTATCACTCTACCTACAGTTGATGACGCACACACCTGCTGAATCTGAGATTCCTCAGAGCGGCGCCGCTCCTCGGCTAAACACAGACTGAGAGCGGTGTGCTGGTTGCTAGGAGACACACACAAAAACACACAGAGATGTATACACAGAGACACACTTGTGCCAACCCTCCTACGCTTCAACCTTGCCTCCATTTACTTATTTAGTACTAAGGCCGATGCCGAGGTGGTGGCATATGGTGTGTGTGTCTTTCTGTGGAAGCAGTTTGGTTTGAAAGCATCACTGTGAGGACACTGTGGCCAGTCCTCACAGCTTCACAGGGCTGTTTGTGGGTTTCAGGTTGGGGTTCGGGCCTAGTTTCCACACAGGCACACTAGAAGACCTCATGGCGACTTCCTGACACCAGGAGCTCCCTTGTTGGTTGCATTTGGCTGAACAACATAACGCACTGAAAAAATGAGCGTTCAGCGTCAGGCGCGTGCTCGGTCGGCGCCTGCAGTGCATTGACATGTTGGGGTGCCTATAGACGGTTGCTAAGCTAAAGATTTGCACACTGTTATAGGCACTTATGCCATATTTTCTTGGATTTTGTGTTCTGGCTGCTAAATTGAATGAGAAGTGAGACCCCATTCAGTTCAGTGGAACAGTGTGTAGGTTAGCAGTGGGAACAGGGAGCATGTATGGGGGGGTAAGAACAGTGTAAATGGGCTAACAAGACTGACTGAACCAGAATGAACCCCAGAAAGACAACAGATGTTTCTGACAGTCCACATACTGACTGGTTTGATGACAGATTTCATTTTGCCGCTGCTGAAGACTTATACAGAGTCTCCTAGTTTTCTCAATACATCCTTTGTTCTCTGTAGTGCAGCAGCAGCATCTTGACGTCCAGCATCATGGTTTGATGTGCAGCACAGTGTCAAAATGTCACTCCTGTCTTTATAAAATAAAAAAGTTGTAATTTAGTGACCCAGGCTTTGTTCTTTAAATCCAGAGAATCACATGCTTCAGTGCAGTTTCAGGTGTTTGTATAAGTCTCAGCGCGTCGGCCTCAGGGTGAATCCAGGTGCTGTGACATATGAACCTGGAGGAAGTGATTTGCTCCAGAAAGAGAGAGATCAGATTTTAGTCAGACTGAGAGGATGTGATGTCCACCAGTAATCCCATCACAAGACCTCCTACCAGTGTGAGGTCTAATAATATTCCTGATCCAGCTTTTGCTGTAGATACAAAGCTCCGAGCTCTTCGTGTACAGACAGCGCTGCCGTCTTGCTTCCTCTCAGCTTTCGCTTGCAGTGATTCACTGAGCCAGGGTTCAGCTCCCTGTGGATCCACTCAGGCTGAAGATGTTCTGTGTAGTAATCGTCTGTATTTATAGAGCCGTGTGTTATAACAGTACGATGATGATGAGTCAGAGCAGATGATGCTTTGGCTGTGAACTTCATGACGGGAGAACTTTATTTGTCAGCAGCAAAGATAGAGCTCACACCGGAAACAAGGCAGCACCGGTGCTTTGTGCTCCGGTGACTCAAACCACCTGCATTTATTGGTTGTGTTGGACACAGCTTTATGCTGTTTGGGTGCCACAAAGCCTTGTGTTTTGCCGCCACTTGTAACTACAAGATGGCTAAGGTAAGGTAGGATGTACAGGAAGAACAGCAAGAAGAACTGGGCTTTGATTCCCAATGTTACATTTCTGCTCCAGTGAACAGAATGTGTACGATCAACATTTAATGAGGCGGTGAACCTGGCAGAAGGAAAGCAAACAGTCTCTCAGGAAACTGTTTCTCCTGCTGCACATAAGTGAACAGACACCGGCCACATTGGGAGACGTCCGCAAGTCTTTTATCCCGCAGCACAGTTCATTGAAAATGTAAATAAATGTCACCCAGATGATAAAATACCTCACTACAGTAGGCCACTGGTGAAGCAAACCTGGGTTTGGGGAGGAGGAGAACACGACTGGCAGCCATTTCATTTGCTATGAAGACAAGGCAAATGTTTATATTTCCTAATCTTGTCTGCTACCAGCTGTGCTCACCACCTCTCCAGCTGCTCCATCTTTCTTTCACCCAATCAGATTGCTTGACATGCATTAGTCTGCATGTACATTTCCATGTTTCTTCACAGAAACATAAAGCAGATTAAGTAGGAGAATTGCCTTGCCATTACAACACGACTTTTAGTGAGACAGAGATCCGTCACAGATGTGATTTAGATTTGTCTGTGCATCGTCATGAAATCTTAAAAAAAACAGCCTTTTTTTTACAGGAAGCTGGAGGATGTGTGATGTAGTGAATCCTGTGTCCTTGGTCACTACGTGAAATATATGTTACCATAGTTAATTCAGTAGAGTGAACTTCTATCTGATGACACGTCATGTTGAAACAGAAAATGCAGGTAAATGGGCAGAGCAATGCAGTAAAGCAGAAAATGAGGAGACTTACGGGCATCCACAGCCAGGAGGAGGTAGCAGGAGGCAAAGCCAGGAAAGGTGAGGGATCATACATGGGCAGACAGGCAGTCCGGGCACAGGCTAAAGTCCAGAGGAGGAAGCAGAATTAGTCATATAATCCAAAGCAGGCGGGAAACAATGGGAAGGAGAAAGGGATGATGTGGGGAGGAGTGAAGGTCTGGTACAGGAGAGGCTGATGAGCAAAGTGGAAACAGGTGAGGAGGAAATCAGGTGTCCAGGTGACCAACGAATGTCCGGGGACATCTGGTGGCTGGAGGGGAGATGACTGGGGGACATCCAGCCTGCACAGGGCTGAGACATGGACCATGACAGTGTCTTCAGCTCTTCAAAGCTCAGCAATGTCAGGGCAGTTTGCAGTTGGCCAGTGGCACAGATTCGTGTTTCAGGGTTGAACCTGCACAACGTCTCAGGAAGCAATCCACAGAGTCTGAGACGCCATCACTGTAATGTTGGTGTGACTAAACAGCAGATAAGCTCATGTCGTCCAGGGTAAAACCATGACAACGGTGTTCCAACGCGTCTCGTCCCAGCAGTCAGCGCTGGGTTCTTTTAACCATGAATTCAGTCTTTCTTACCTTATTCAAGTAGTTTTAATTCCCTGAACTCAGCAGCAGTCACATGAAGCGAGGCACTGACCAAAGGGAGCACCATCAGGTTTGAGTTGTGGTGGATGAAGGTGGATGTCATCTGAAGGCAGTCCCTGCTTTTGTTCAACAAAGGATGTTCATGAGCACGTCTCCTATCTGAGTCTGTCTCACATCGGCCGTGGGGCGGTTTGCGGTCCACTGGAGGAATCTCTGCAACTGAATCAGTTTGAGGTGAGTCAGCAGTCGAACAGTCTGCTCCCAGGAAATCCTCTCACTCGGAGCCTGACAGCATGAAAATAACTTCACACTGCCAAGAGCATACTGCAGCCACATCATGGTTAAAGACGAGAGCACACAAGAGGGACTGAGGGTGAAACTACTAATGAGACAAGTTGGACTGGGTCTGTCCCAGTTTGGGTCGGTTGGTTGACAGTCAGCAGATAATATCCTATCCTGCGTGAATCTGAAGTCTTCAGAATTCATCGCTGCCGGTCGTTCTCAAAAAGATGCCTTTAAACATGTCTGGTATTAGTAACAGACGCCAGCGAGCGACCAGCTTTCTGTGCAGGATCTCTTTCTTTCTTTTTTTGGCCTTTTCAGCACAAATGTCCCGGCACAGAAACAGCAACAACCAGTCACTACCAACCGGTGATTCACAGTGTTGTGTAGTGTCTTCCCACTGTCACAAACTGGTTCAGGAAACGTGACAAGAAGGGAGTCCACACAAAGATTCATATAAACAGAGTTTCTTAAAAGTGAAGTCATAGCAAAGGGAAAGCGGAGGAAGATGGTGCAGGGTGGATGTCAGCAGCTGACAGCCCTGATGAGGCTACGCGGGACAACCTCCCAGACAGTGGGAGGGCCGTCACATGAACCCTACACTCCCTGACGGCTAAAAAAGTCTGTGCAAGTTAGTTAAAACTATCGTTATGTGTGGTTTGTCCAGTCTTTAGCTTTTAGGCTTCAGCTTTGTCCCAAGCTTAAGTCAGCCAGACAATATGCCAGGGCCTACCGAACTGCTTTAATATTTTATTAAAAACAAACCTTCCTAAAATCTTTTACATCGCTTTAGCCATGGCAGCATTCACAACACATGTGACACAGAACAGATGTCTCAGCCCAAAAGCATAGAGTTGACCGCCCTGATTTAATGATGACCGATGTAGTAACTGGTGGCGGTGTGATGCATACGATGCTGTAAGGTCTGAACATACAAGCAGGACGAAATGTTAGTACTCAGTCAGACACTGATGGGTTTTCAGGCCAGCCAGGGGCGTCTCATCAGACCTGGACAGATGCAGCAGTGAAACAGGCTTCCACTCATAGTGCAAGCTGTCACCGAGGGATCACGGAGCAGGGACCTGCCACAGAGCAGCCAGCAAGCACAGCTTCTGGCTTTGGTTTGGGTTTCACGCTTTCAGGTAAGGGCGGTGGTCAGCTTTACTTCTTTAAATGATCAAAGATGCTTGGTCCAGCTGTTGGCTCAGTGGGTCCAGGCCTCGTTCATCGGCTGTCCACTCAGCTCAAACAGGCAGTTTAAAAAGAAAATGGAAGTGGGAAAGTGGTGGAAGATGCAGCTGCGACAGGAGGGCAAAGTGTGCACCTAGTGTCGTTGGCACCACTGTTGTAAACACAGGATCCTTCTTTAGTTGGTTTGAAACCTTTCTGCTTTTGCTCAGAGGCTTCAGGGCAACTTCTGTAATGTCACTACTCACAACAGGCACGATACTCCCATCTGAAAATCTCTGACACAAATCATAAGGTTATTATCACTGTGTGTGTGCGTCGCAGCTTCTGGAGCAGTAAATACAGCCGATGAGATTATAGGTCGGACAGTAAATGAACCTGTTGCCATGGAGATCCTTGTAATAACAACAGGGTTTGTGTAGGTGTGTGTGATGAGGGTTAATGATGTATTAGTGGAGGTGATTGTTATCCTGTCAGGGCTGCATTTCCTTCAAATGTCTCTCTGCAACTCACTCAACATCTGTGTCACTGGGGAATTTCAGTCAGGTGATCATCAACTGAGAGGAACAGCCAATCAGCTGATCAGCCAGATGATTTGCAGAATCAGCACTGAGTCAAACAACTGCTGATCTGGCGGATCGGGCTGTCGTATCAGTCACAGCCAAAAAGAACAGCTGATCAGATACTAAAAATGAATGAGCCAGACAGTCAACGGGTAATTGATCAGCCACTATAAAAAATAACAAGTGGGCCAAAAGTAGCTGCACAGCCAAACACGTAATCTGTGACTCAAACGGCTCATACGACACCTGATCAGATAGTCAACCAACTGACCAGCAGTCAGTCAACGTAGCAGTCGGCTGGTTTGTCAGCCAGCCTGCCAGTCAACCAATGAGTCTGTCCAGTCTTTCAGATTTACCACAGTAGCAGCTTTCAGCAGTGCAAGAGATCAGGACACTGAACTGTGTCACAGTGTGAACCGCAGTGTGACGCTGACAGCTCGGAGCAGACACACTTTGAGCTCTCTCGGTCCATCTGTGAGTCCAGGAACTCCGCAGGACCTGAACCCAGCAGCTCTGCTGAGGACCACGGTGTGAAGACGCGTCGACAGAGTCACAACCACGAGCCACACAGCAGAGACACTGAAGAGGCACCGGACCACATGGAGTGACACTGATGGAGTCGTGAGAATCGGCCGGAGAGTTAGCTCTGATATGAGCCAGAGGAAAACCAGAAATCAATAAGTGTTTGTTCTACCTGCCACACCCTGGCTCAGGGGAGGACAAAGAAGGAGAATCACAATGTTAGATCAGCTAATGGTGGTTTTCAGACACTTTCAGCATTCTGTGGGGAAAACGTGA